AGCAGTTTGTTTTTGAGTATGGAATGTGCATACATTGTTGTAATCAAATTTAATCCACTGGTTTCTTTATATTTTCTATGATCAACTGACAGCTGCTCTTTTTGCCCAAAGCAACTGTACTGAACTGGTAGAACTGGTAGAATTAGAAATATAGGGCAGGGGATGCTGGCTGACATCATTGACCACATATGGCCATTGCTTTATTTGCATAATGACGTCAGCCAGCATTGCCAACCCCTTTGTTTACATTCAGTTGCCAGCCAGGGAGTCTGCTACCCTTTGGCATCCTAGCAAACAATGAGCCCTGAGTGGAAAGCTGCCTCAATCATGACAGCTTCCCAGTGCAACTATGCCCTGCTACACATCGAACGCTCCGTATCTAAATCCCTTTTGAAGTCAATGGTAAACGAATTCCAGTGGGCTGTACATGCTGCACTCCCGCTGCTAATGACAGACTCCTGGGTGCAGTAAATGAAACTCAAAAATCCTGATGGTAAATTTAAATTAGCATAGCTGGGAATCTTTCATGCCTTTATTGGCACTGAATTTACTTCTGGAGGCATTAATAAACTTTATTTTAAAGGCTGGTAAGTACATGTATGTTTTTTATTTCAATAAAGGACTATTTCACCTTGTTGCCATTTTTTGATCATGTCTCTCCTTCTCGTCTTCTCTTGGGGGATATCTGGTTACACCCTTTTATAAAGGGGGCTTCCAGTTTTCACCTTAATTCCCCCTATATTACCCCCACCTCATTTTATGGGGACATGGGGGTAGAGAAGAGGCCCTTGTCCCTACACATTGGCATAAGGGTACTGTGCAAGTGGGGAGGATTTTGCCCAGATAGGGGTCTGGCTGAAATATTAAGGGGAAATCCATGCTGTGTGTCCCCCTTTTTAAATAAATGTACACTGTCACTTTAATTTTTAAACATTATCTAGTGGATTTCTTGGAGAAATCAGCAATTATCATAAAATTACCTTTTATGGTCAATGATGTCAATCAGGGATCCAGTGGAATTGCCAGAGTCAGAAATTTTTTTAAAATCAAAAGTGACATATGTGTACAAATGTGCACATATATTAGTGTAATGAAAGGGGAAAATAAAGACTTCCTTTAATACCCCACCCAGACTATTATGCCCCCCCATCCTGTACCATGCTAGTTCACATGGCTTTCAACATTTGGGGGTTACCTTGCAAAGCACCCTTATCCTGGGAGGGGGCGGGTACAGCTGGCTCTGCCACTGGATAGGCAGAGCCAGCTGTCAGTCACGCAGCTGGGCGGAAGCCCGGCACAATTGTCGGGATCCGTTTCAGCTGCGGCGTCTCAGTATACCGCGAGCAGCAGCTTGCGGTATACTGCGGCGTCTCAGTATACCGTGAGCTACAGCTCGCAGTATACTGAGCCTAGGGTGACGGGAGGACGCTAGTTTGTGTCCTCCCGTTACCCTAAGGAGAACTATGGGGAAAAGCCTTAACCCCATAGTTCTCCTTTAAGCATCACAAAGTATATTGCTTCTTAGTTTGATGTTAGTTCTCCTTTAAGGACAAATTCCTATTTCCGACCTCCATGTCCCCCAAAAAGGAGGTGGGGGTTATAATGGGGGAGGAGGGGTATAATCTGGAAGTAGCTAATCACTTTGGTATAATCTGGAAGTAGCTATAGCCGCCGGGACTTGGTTTACCTGTGTAAAGCCAACTGTTGGCTTTGCACTGGAAGCGATACTGGAGGCTGAGCTGCCCCCAGATCGCTTCTACAATCCGGTAAACGGGCCGTTCCTGCCATAATAGGCCGCTAATGTCACCTTAAACAGAACCTGTCACCACTAATATGCTATCACATAGGGTGCTTGTGAGCCCCCCTATGTGATAGCAATGAAGATAAGTAAAAAAAAAAAAAAAAAGTTTAACAAAATAAAGTTAAATAAAATAAATGTAAAAATACCCCCAAAAATGTTAAGGGCACCCGCCTCCGTGAATGCCCATACTAACATAAACAAGTGTTGGGTGAACCTACGTATGAAAACGATAATCACACTACACGTTAGGTATCGCTGCGTGCGCCACAGTGAGCCAATATTTATGGATAACTTTAAACTGATGACCTGTAGAGACTTTAAAAGTGTCATCTAGGGACAATTTGGGTACTATATTGATACCCCAAAATGTGGATTATGACGTGCAAAAAAAACTCTGTCAGCCAAAGGCTTAAACCTCCAGGAATACTGTGGAAGGGGAGTGAGAGGCATAAGTCTCAATGTGCTTGGTATTGATGGGACATTAATGTGATATTGATCTGCTTTGTGTTGTGTTCCCGTTCATTTTGATTGGCACCCTATCCCACTTATACAGCAGCTGCCAATGTACTTTTCTGATTGGCTGCAGGTGATTTGGCAGCTACTCTATATGTGCATTGGGGTGCCATGTTAAATTAAGGCACTGCAACACAAAACACATTAGGGGGAATTAATCAAAACTGGAGCAGACAAAATCTGGAGCAGTTGCCCAGGGCAACCAATCAGCTTCTTTGTTCAGTTGAGATTTGAAAATGAAAGAGAGAAGCTGATTGGTTGCCCTGCAAAGCTCCAGATTTTGTCTACTCCAGTTTTGAGAAATGTCCCTCATTGTGCATGTTTTTTACTATCACATCTCAATAGTATGCATGGGTACAAAGGACTAACACTTTCATAGTTGATGATTATGTTGATGCAATAAGCTGGAGTACACAAGACTTCAAGATGACCAGTCAGAGCTGAGGTCCCAGCTTCTACATGCCCAATAGTAATTGCTACTATTGTAGAGTACAGATATTTCCATGGCCATAGAACTGATTTAGAACCTAGTATAATTTATCAAACATGGGGTTAAACATCAGGTGGATCACATGTAGCAATTATATGAAACATCCTGTGGAGGGTGGGAAGTTGAACCTGCCTCCATTGCCCCTGCGGGAAGTTCCTCTTGCTTTGTGCTTGGTAATTCCTATAACAACTACAGTTTGGATGATTTGTAGCAACCTAACTGTAAGATTTACATTTTTCCTTGCATTTACCCTGTAATGGTTTCAGGAAGTTTGGCAAGATATTGCCTGATAGTTTGTTTCCCCATCACTTTTGTTGCATGATAAGTTGTATTTTTGCCAGGCTGTTACATGTCATGTGGCAACTTTTCTGTGTTCATTATAGGTATAGTAGCATATCTTGAGGTTACAGCGTGTTAAGTACTACTGGTTTGTGTTTGCTTTCCAAGTAGGTTCATTACTTGAATGCACACTTCAGAAGAGAGAAATTATTGCATGCAGCATTTTTAGGGCTTATGTACAGGGTCATTTGTGCAAGTTAGGACTTTCCCCGTGAACGCCATACATAACATTGTGCGCTGTTATGAATGTGTGGTTGAAAGTGACTTTGATTTTTGTGCATGCTGCATTTGTCCATCAACAGAGGTCCTTATGGAAGTTGATCACCCCTTTTACCATGCTCATGCATTCACCTGTGTGCTGAGCTGGTTTAGCTTTGCAAGGGATATACACTTTGTTTTTCTGGCATCACCTAAATGTTGCATTTTTGCTGCATGTGCCTGAGTTCCAAGAACAGTCCCAGGGTTTGCCTTTTGTGTGTGTGTGTGTGTGTGTGTGTGTGTACTGGTCAACTTACATAGGGGGACCTGAAGCATGGTCCCCAAAATGTCCACAGGGTCACACAATTCCTTTAGTATTTGTACATGTTCTATTACTGATAAAATTATATTTTTACAATCTGTAAAAACAAGTGTTCTGCCTCTTTTTCTGCCTCCTTTTTAGAATGCTGCTTGCAGAGGGGTTTTCTCTTAAGGACTTAAATCCTGCTAGCGATGTTGCATCACAATGCAACATGAGTAATGTTAACATCAATTTTGGGTTGCGTGGATAAAATGATCACGATGGTGACTTATTAAGACGTTCTGAATTTCACTTAGCACTCAAGCAGTATGATGCATAATGTCATTCAGAACATCCAATGTGTTGGGTATTAATGTGGAGAGGCCATATTTTTTAAAGTATTACATGTGTATATGTAACCTGTGAAATGTGTAAACACTGTTGTAGAGGCTACTTAACTTCCTCATTCTAGTAGCACATTTCCTATGGCTTGCAGCTTTGCTCCCTTTTGGGTTTTACCCCATGTCACATCAAGCACCTCTATGTCACATCCAACTGTAGACAGATGCCTATGCAATGTTTGTCCATGTGATGCTGAGCCCTTACAGGCTTACTAGAGTCCTGTGCGTCTTCAGCCGGAGCCCTCCTGTGCCTCTGCCAACTGGCCTATTCAGCCACTAATTTGATTACATTCCATCAGTTGCCACTGGCATTACTCTGGGTACACTCCATTTGTCTCTCCTGACCACTGGTGTATCTCTAAGTATGCTACAGCAGTCAACTGACCTGGTCCCTGGTACACTCTGTTTGCCACACTTTACCCATTTGTGCCCTGGCACTCACCAATTGCTCCTATGTTCTCTCACTAGTGGCCTGACACTTTCCACCAGTGTTCCTATCCATTTACATCTAGTATTTGAGAAAGTTACCTGGGGGAAGGACCTCGGCTGAGTCCCTGGTGAATACTGCCCATCACTTAGATACTGCTCCTTAGTAAACCCAGTTGTAGTTAGAGTACGGTCTAGTTCACTGCCCAGATATACCTAAATAGGTGTTGTGAGGGTAAACAGTAGTGTAGTAGTATATATTTTACATTGCAACCTTGTAGTACCAGTGTGTCCATGATGCAACTGCCAACAGGTACTATGCCCATAATACCTAATATGTAGTCCCCCATCTTTGCAGAACATGTTGGTAGACAGAACAGAGTGGCCATAGTTTGTGTAACCAAACTAGAAGCAAGCTCCTTTCGGAGACAGTAAATTATACGATTGGTCCAATGTTCTCTGTAAAGATTAGTGGCTTGTGTGCAGTAGTGATTTGCCTCTAATACTTTTGTAACACTGGCTTTCTCTTAGAACTTGGTGATTTCTTGGTACTGGATTTGGGAGGAGCCAAATTTCGTATTCTCAAGGTAAAGTTAAGCTGTGCTTCTGGAGTAGAGATGGACAGTGAAGTATTTGACATATCTGAAGACATTATGACTGGAACCGGCGAACAGGTATGGTAATATAAGTCACTCCTCAAGTTATGGTTTACCCCTGTTTTATTGCCTTTTCCCTAATAATATTTTATGTTGGTTCGGGGCTGTAGAAAGCACTTTTAAAGGCTTAAAACACATAAAAGGATTTGGGAGCTTTTTAAGCTTGTATTTGAATCTTAAAGAGACGCTATCTCCAGACCATTTATTTCAACAAAAATGCTCACCTAAGATAATACTTAAGGGTACGTTCACACCAGATGCAGTCTGACACCCTGGTGTCAGACTGAATTTTCTGTGGAAAAAATGTAGAATTTTATTAGGCTTCAGGCCTAATAAAGCCTTCATTAAAAAAAAAAAATGGAAGAAAGCCTGCAATGTGAGTCATGAAAATGCACACACATATACATCGCCACTGCGCCTCTACATTACCACAATAAATGCTAATCACTTAGGTAGATAAAGGTAGAAATGGATTTGAAAGAAAACTGTCATGGGGGGGGGGGGGCCTGCTGCCATAGTTGATATCACCTTTTGGTTGCCTGGCTTTCATACTGACCCTCCATACTGACCTGTGAGTCAGTAACCTGTAATAAGAATGGGTCATTGACTCAAAATATACAGTATAAGCTAGTGGATCAGCATAACAGCTAGTGAACTAGTGGTCTAAAAAGGCCAGAAAGGACAGCTCCCAGATCTGTCATGGCAGGCATACTTTAAATGACATAATTGTCAGGTGGTATCTCTCTCCAGCATCTACCAACATCTGAAATATAAGCGTTGGGAGAATTGACCCTTTTAACTGGCATTTTACAGACACAAGTAACTTTGTTTGTTAGGTATTAACCTTTGAACTGCAATTCAGATTGGTGGGATAAATTGTATGGCTTGTCTAGATCTCAAATTGCTATACAGAAAAAGCCACATGGGTACATTTGTATAGAAGCCGAGCAAGGGAGGCTTTTTAGGCCCAAATCACACAGGCAAGTTTAAGTAGCTCAGTTATGAAAGTAAAATTAGGCCTGATTGATTGTTGCATAGCAGAAACGGATTACTGATTGATGGAACAAATATCTCCCTATGGTCCTAACTACACAGCAGAACATAGTAGGAATTAGTTGCACATGATTGCACAATGTTGTAATCGTGTGCAATTAATTGCTAGAGTGTAGCTTGTACCATAGGGAGCCATTTGTTTCATCAGATGGCGATTGCTACTCTATAGCAATTAATCAGACAAATTTAGTAGCTCCTAAAAATAGTCCAGATAGCTAAGGCTGCAAATATTAACAGCAAATTCATTTTTGTTCTACAGTTAACTTTTCATTTAATATATACATTGCCTAAATAAAGATTTAATGTATGATAACTTTGGTGCGTTAGTAGTATTTGTTTGAATTTATCTTTTTTTTTTTTTTTTGTATAAACCACATTGATCAAAAGCCACGGCAGACAACAAGGGGCAAATAGTTTGAGTGGTTTTACATACTATTATGCTGGCACATTAATACTCAATTACCAGCGTTGACCTCAGTGATGGGACTGCCATACTATCTGGCCAATATTCTGTTTTGCTTTTTACCTGTTTCTTTGTAGTATAAATAATATTTAAAGCACAGGATGCATGTTGATATTAGAAGTGCCTGTGCATTGATGCAAACCAAAATATTACCCTTGCAGTGGGTGCAAGGTCTTCATTTATGCCTAGAGGAGCATAGTATAACACTTTTATTTGCCTGATCCCCGCTCCCCCAGTGGGGCTAACCCAATTTTTTTGGTTTGCCTGGAGATGGTCTTTAACCACTTCCTGCGGGTTCACTTATTTGTACGTCATTCTCTGGAAGTGGTTATAGCAAGCAGCCATGTTCTTGGTGCCATTTTAAACAGCAGGCGATTGCTGTTTAAATACAAGTGATCCGGCGTCTGTACAGGCGAGGAATCGCTTGTATGGTACGGCGTCCCCTCCGCGGCCGCCGTCGGCTTCCTGTGCTCATCTGTCCCTCGCGTGAGCCCGGGACTGGCGGGGAAGGTCTCCCCTGATAGATCGGAGAAGAGACCACCGGCTTTCAGCCGCTGATCACTCCTCCGATCACTGGACCTGGAAGTGATGTGCATCACATCACTTCTGGTCTCACTGTACACAGTCTCTGGCTCTTAGAGCCAGAAGAAGAAGCTGATGAAGAAGATACCTGCTTCATCAGCCTCTTAGGGGTCCCTAGGTGACAGGGGTCTTTCAGACCCCTGATGTCTCCATAAAGAGGACCTATCACAATAAATTTGCTGATTTTTTTTTTTTTTATTGTGTGCGCAAATGCAAGAAATTGCTCCGTGAAGCACGTGGTTAAAGGGAAAGTATAGTATATTTTTATAGAGCATCTTTTGGTTTGTTATTGCCTTGTTTGCTTTAATTTGACTTTGACTTCTTTTTTAATTTTTAAAAATTTTTAGTTTTCTTTGTTTTGTATTGTTAACACTTATAGATTAGCCCCTGGTGGCAAAGTATAATTCCTTTTGCAGTAACTCTATGTAACATCTGTGTTACATACAGTGGTGTGGTGCTTGATTTCTAGCTCTGTACCCCCAACGTATAACTTGTAATATTGTTGAGATCTGCCACACAGGGAGTGTATTGTTTTCAATAAGTCGACCGTGTTGAGATGGAGCAGTAAACCACAACCATAGTGTAGCACTGCAAAACAAGACGTACAAGCTGCATATGTAATTAACAAATATGTACACAAGGGCAGCCATATGATTACAGACTACACAGAAACAGTTATTAAACATCACAAGCTGATTCTCAAGCTATCCTTTGATATGTATATCTTGCAAATACTTGGGAACAGCCAGACACCTTCTGGTGAGGTGAACCAAAGAGCTACCCACTTAATTAGTGGGAATTGCAGAGCCTTCTTAAAACAGAAGTATTCAAGTTAAAATCGCCTGAGGTAAAGCTCCATGTCAATAATTAAATGAAAGCCAGTTATGTTTAAAGGGCCCATTCACACCTCTCCATTTGTGAATAAAATGTTACATATTGTATTAACATGTGTTCACATAAAACATGGTAACAAACTCACGTGTAGTAAAAAATAAATGCATGTGCGCTATAGTGCACCGCAAGACTCAGGTGTGCTTGCTTTGTGCCATGTGATGCTCTGCATTGCCAACATTTGTGCATGTATGTTCTTTTTTTGGGGGGGGGGGGGGCATTAGGCTCTTTGCCAATTCAGATTGAATGAAATATCTTAACAACACACATCAATGCACAAAGAAATGAATGTCAACATGCACAGGGAGGTGTGAATGGGCCTTATGATAGTTTTTTATGAAAATACACTAAGTGCAGTTTGGTATTGGCCTGCTGTAACTCCCTATATAGCCAGACCAAGAGAGGGCTGATCACTACTCTTACTTTACATATTGCTTTCTATTAACAGTTTGGAAAGTCTGGGACCACAGTGAAGACTTCATCAGTGTGTTGCTTTTCTTTTATCCAATCATAGACTGATGATGGTGTAGTGACCTACTTATATTGCATGAATGTAGGGAAAAAAAGAATTACAAGCCTTGCTATAGTTTTTGGAAGGTGTACCTGACTGGTAGAACACCACTATAAATAATTTAGTAGTTCAACAACTTATGGATATGTACTTCAGCTGTGTGTCATTTTTTTTTTGTCTGCTAATTCAGTAAAACTGGTGCAAGTCTATCCTACTAGTTGGCAGAAAGTACAGACACCTGAACAATGACATAACTGCCAATGATAAATTGTAATACTGTATATGAATGTCAATGGTAAATGTATTTTACTGAACGATGGTCTCTTGTTATCACAATTAAAATAATTTTTCTTCAAACAGAATAAAAACATGTACTGAGAAAATAACCAGCTTTCAGTGTTTTACTCTCCTAGAGTACTAGTTGCCTGGTTGTCTCTGTATTCAATACATTGAGTCACTGACCTGGAACAAGCATGAACATTATAAAGTCAGTGAAGTCAATACGCCTGATTTGCATACTTGTTCCAGGTCAATGTCTCCGAAATTACTGAAGCTATTGGATCAGCATGAAGCCCAGGCACCTTGCAGAGGCTGCAATGGTAGCTTCCAAAATATCTTATTCCAGATGCCCTTTACATTAAAATGTTGGAGTATGACTATTCCTTATTGTATGTCTGCAGCTGTTCGACCACGTTGCTGAGTGCCTTGGCCATTTCCTTCAACATCGCAACCTCAGTAAAGAGGTTTTCCAGCTGGGGTTTACTTTCTCATTCCCTTGTGAGCAGAGTCAGCTAGACAAGGTAATATTTCATTCTAACTTCCATTTCAGTAAACTGCTGTCCAGAATTTTGCACATGCTAAAGACAGCAGAGTTCTTTACCTCAAATATCTACTTTGAACATAGTCTGTGAGCACAGTCTTCCTACACTGTTCGCCTGCAATTCAAGGTGAAATCATAGCAGGATAATGGACGCATCAAGACCCTGAGTGTGCCTTCTGTGTAAGATTAATGCTGCTATGACCACTGGGAATTATCCTGATATTCTATGGTAGGCGGAGAGCATATTCCCATATTCCACAGTGCCTGAGCAACCTATCAGCCCCTATTGGGTTTAAGTTTTATGCAGATACCAACTTTTTTACAAGTTGCTTAGCATAACCTTGAGTGGGGCAATGGTACTGCCTACAGGATTTTTGGTGCCTTTTACTTGGCCTAAGCTGTTGGCTTAGGTTAAAACTTTTTAAAGATGTGGTGGTTTTTTGTCTTTTAACTATAACAGGGTAGGACTGTGCTGGCTGGTAGGGGGGCATTTGTCTCCTGGGCTAACACTAATAAGATATTTGGGATGGTGGCACTGCTTCTATATACCTCAACATTCAAAGCAGAACTCCAGACAAAAATATTAATCCTTGCATTGGGGCTACCCCCGCACTGCAAGGGTTAACATCTCGTTGTGTCTAGGGCTGTAAATAATAAACATTTTAACAAATCCGGCTTGCTCCTAGACCAGGCCTTCCAGCCTAGCTCCCCTTCCCATGCAGCGGTTTAAGGATCCTCGAGTCATCCCGCCCAGTACACTGTAAGCTAAGGACACAAAAGGAACATACCATTGCTTCAGCTGATGGGGGAAGAGAGGCTGGTGGGGCACTGCCAGCTCAGAGGATCAGCATCCGTTTATAAGTAAGCGAGTATACGTGTTAACAAGCATTTAACTGTTGCAGTGTGGGTGTAGCCCCACTGCAAGGGTTAATATTTTTGTCTGGAGTTCTATTATTTTAAGACTTGATAAGAGTGCAACCTGTAGTCCAAGCCATATGGTGGCCATTCTAGCTGCCCACTTTCCTTTTGAGACCTTTACATCAGAGCATCTTCCAACTCCCTTTGTGGCTCTGAAGATGTCACATGTTCGATTGCAGAGAATTGCCTAAGAATGATGCCGGAAAATGTGTCAATAAACCATGTTTTACAATTTCCACCGGTTACTGAATGCCATGATACTAAATTGGAAATGTGCCAATCACTGTAAGCACATACACAGCATTGTTTTGTGTTTCTGCCTACACTGTTTTACAGTTAACTGACCAACAGCAACATATGACTGCTTTTGCTGAACTTTTCCCTCTGAAAAAAATAGTTGCCTTGCTGCTATGTTGTGCTAAACGTATTAACTAGATGATTTCTATTTATATAGGCCTTCTACGTAAGTGGGTTAAAAAAAAAATCCTTTTTTATGATAGACCTTTTAAAACAAAAACTGAGGGATTTAATCACCTCTATTTGCAATGTGTAGCTGATATAACAATGTGTCTGCTTTCCCATCCACAGAGTGTACTCATCTCCTGGACTAAAGGCTTCCGCTGTTCCGGAGTAGAGGGGAAAGATGTTGTCCAGTTATTGAAAGATGCCATCCAAAGACGTGGGGTGAGCATTTGCACATCATTTGTTGACCTATGTCCACTGTTTTATCTGACTCATTGGAGTTTAATATATGAAAATTATTTTTTCTTTAGGATTATAAGGTGGATGTTGTTGCCATTGTCAATGACACAGTTGGAACAATGATGAGTTGTGGCTATAAGGACCACAGCTGTGAGGTTGGATTTATCGTTGGTAAGTTTCTTTGCGCCCTTCCTTGTACGAATCTAAGAATGGATCAGCTGTTGTAGTCATGCTCTCTGTCTGCAGGTACTGGTACCAATGTCTGTTACATGGAGGAGATGGGCAATGTGGAAGCTGTGGAAGGCGATGAAGGCACAATGTGCATCAACTTGGAATGGGGATCACTTGGAGATGATGGGGCACTAAATGACATTTTGACCCAGTATGATTTGCAGGTGGATCAGACATCCACAGTACCTGGGAAGCAACGGTAGGTGTTGGCACATAACTGACTTAATTCTCCCTGAACACCTAAGCCCACCTTCTGTGGTTAACCGCAAATGTTTAAGTTTGCAATTCTTGCTTGTCCCTTTGGAACAGCTCGGGGTCACATGTACTGTGTTTTGATTCAAATGGCGAAAGATGGTGTTTGGACAAGGCATTTATGGTGGTCAGCATTAGGAAGCCAAATGATTTCTTACCTGCTAGACAGGCACACAAACATTACAAAACACAGAAATTTCAAAAACACAGAAACAAAGAGAGAGAGTCAGTTACATTTTTCTTAAAGGAGAACTATGAGGAGTGCTTTTCACTCACCTCATAGTTCTAGCCGACCTGTGACAATGAGACTGTCACAGGTCGGCTCAGTAGATCGGGAGGTGAGCGAACACATACCGGCGTTCGCTCACTTCTCGATCCTGTCACGGCTCTCTGCCGTGACAGGGGAGGGGCTGGATTCCCCCCTCCCGGCTCCGATCCTCCAACGTTGACTGGCGGAACGGACGGGGAGGGGGCGGGTACAGCTGGATCCCCCCAGCTGCCTCAGGCAGCTGGGGGGATCCAGACATAATTGTCGGGATCCGCTTCAGATGCGGCGTCTCGGTATACCGCGAGCCGTAGCTCGCGGTATACTGAGCTTAGGGTGACGGGAGGACGCTGGTTTGTGTCCTCCCGTTACCCTAAGGAGAGCTATGGGGATAAGCCTTAACCCCATAGTTCTCCTTTTTCAAGCACTTAAGCTTAGAGATTGCTTGTCATTCACTTTTGCCTGGCTAAAGTAGCTGGGCTACGAGTTATAGGTTGGACTTGATGGACTAATGTCTTTATTCAACCTCAAATACTATGTAACTATGTAATACATATATCAAGGCTCTTTCTTGCATTAAAACATAGATATATTGAGGCTGCAAAGTAGAGTCTTGCTATGAGTTGGTGTTATGGGGCAGCCAGCCCCCCCACCTTTCCTTTGGAAAGCAATAGCAGGACACTCATCCTACTATGCTAGAGTTGTGTTGGTGGACTTTCTATTCAGATATAAATATGAGTATTTTGAATGTAGGAATTATGATGCCTCTTCAACTAAACTATAATTATGGTTTCCAGGAAAAAAGACGTTCTCTGGGTTGGGGTGTAACTCAGCGCCAGTTAATCTAGTTTGCTCAGACTTAACTCTGGTTTTCCAGATCTCCATGCATGTTCTCGGGTCAACTTTATTGTAAAAAAGGTATTAAAGCCAGAGTCAATCAGGCAAATATCTTAGAAGGTGGTCAGCAAAGGCAGCCCTATATTTTACTTGTTTCCTTTTAAAGTAGTGCTTGGTGGCCTGAAATTGCATGTCATCTGTGGGCTGGTTATGATGGGAATTGCAGTTCCACAACCACTGGTGGATCATAGCTTGGCAGTTTTTAATTACTTCCAGTGTTACAACAGCTCTCAGATGGTTCATGTAATGCATCTAGCACTTCTAGCATATCTTAAAAATTAGTCATATAAATTATTCAGTTGAAAACGCATGGAATATTTCATGAACAGCATCGACTTTAGAAGTTTGGCAGAGGCGTCCTGTTCAGCCAAATGTCTACTACACAGAGGAAAGTGGAAGGTGCTTTCAGAACTGCAAACTCTGTATCTTCAAATGTAAGAACTAATACACAGCCGAGTCTTTGAACTTCTAAGAGCTAATTATAATCCTCTCTTGTATTTTATACCATTCCTATACTATGTTGATCTCCAATTAGCTGAAGCAAAATGATCTAAGTACTACAGAACTTCACTGCTTGCAAACTTTACCATTATGGAATATCTTCATGTTAACCTCAAAAGAAAATGTAATTATGCCAGTGGTCATACAGTGCAACAAAATATTGGACAAAGCTTCTTTTTAAAGATCTAAAGCAAGGGTTCTAAACTAATTTCTTTATATAATTTTAAAAAAGCTTACTTGTACAGTACACTGAAATTCTTGGTGTTTTTTAGCCACTAATTTAAGAAACTAATTTTAAGAAAACAGTGAGATGAATACTGGAACAAAATGAGTCTTTTATCTGTACTAGCAAATGTGTACCATTCATGAACAAGGTAATTTGGTGCAGATTGCTGACTGTCATATTTTTTTGCATGTAGAATATTTCAGATTAGAGACTTATTTTCTCTTTAGTGTACGCGTTAGGAATTCATGTTGATGGTGGTTTCAGCAAAAGTGGGCAGAGGAGGGAGTGAGGTAAGATAATCGGACTTGTGTAACTTGGAATGCCACTATAAAGTACATAGTAAAAGCAGCATCTGGGGAATAGTAGTACCACCCAGCTGTGGTATTCGCAGAGAGGGTTTTACACAGGAACAATGGTGGTCAAATTCAGTGTTTGGTAACTGAAGTTGAATGGAGTTATTCTGAGGCACTGGAGGTGGCAGTGGGGTTGCTGTGTCAGCAAAATTAGGAACAAGGGACATGGAACTGGGATCATTGAAACTGATGCAGGTTATTAGTTAGATGTGGCAGGTAATGTTTAAAGCATATCTAAACCTAAAAACAAAAAAAGTTTAAATAATGCAGCTTACCAATCCTTGGATGTGGTGGATGCATTAGGCTTTACATTTTTTTTTTTTTTTTTTAGGCTATGAGCATTTTCAGCAAATACAGCAAATACCTGTTGATCCTGTCAGAAATGCAATATCCTTGTCACTTTTTCTGTCGGAAGAAAGCACACCACATTCTTATCTATTTTGTGTAAGCTACTACTCCAGTCAATCCAACATGGAGATGAACAAAGGCCAGTCTGTGACAAACTGTATGGTTCCTTCCATAAATACATTAGAGAGAAGAGTATAGACTTAAAGGGGCACCAGGTGAAAAAAGTGAAGAGCCTAACAAAGAAAACAAATGCAGCCACCACATCTGAGGACTGGTAAACTGCAATAATTACATTTTTGGTTTCAATAAGCTTTAAGCAGGACTAAACACAATGGCGGTGAAATCACTATTGAACTAGACAGTTGAAATTAAATTGTTTTGCAGTGTAGATGGTGGTGGGGACACAGTAGGTGGGTTGTGTATTTCTTGACTGAGATATTGAGTGGATTTGGGACAGTGAAGGTGGTGTTAGTAGCTTGTGTTACTGTAGGTGAGACCACTACTTCTCATAGTAAAGGTGGGTAATGGGGACTAGGTAAGGCACAATTCATATAATTGTGTATGTATGTATGAAGTAATTGGATCCAACGTATTTGTTTAATGACTGCTGTGTAATCCTTGGGCAGTGCCATTAGTCTGGAGAGTGGCTTGAGGCATGGGGTTATCAGTTCAGTGGGTGTAAACAGTACATCTAAAGGGTTTAAACTGGAACTCTAGGCATTCAATTTAAATATGTTTTGAGTGAATGAATATATATATATAGCATATGTTTCCTGTTTTACCTGCCAAAGGATTTGTAATCCACTACAGACGGTGGTGTGATTTACACAGCCAGGCAGGTAACTCGCTTATTTCCTAATGCAGCTCCCTACTTCCTGCCCCAGTCTGCTTTATTAGACAATGGTAATCCACTTCAGTAGTAGTAGAGTGGTTTGCTGTGCTGTGTGATCAATTTTAAAAGAATCGCAAGCGCAACTGAATAAATTACTAATGCCTTGGCAAGTAAAATGGTAAACACATGTTTACACTTTTGGTATGAAAACTACCTAGTGAGTGAGCTCTGGGTACTAGGGGGGCCATTCTCATTCACCAATGGTGGGAAGTGGTGTGTGTGTGCGTGTACTGATGGCAGGTTACAGGGAAAAGACTGAGGGCCTGTTCACACAACGTCCGTTTTGTGTGCTGACCGGCTCCGCTGCACTCAAAATGCATCCCAATGTATCCCTATGTGTTTTATGGGCTCCAGTTCTCACGTGCGCAGTCCGTTCAGCTTACGACAGAAAAAATACTGCATGTCACATTTTGTCCGGTCCGGAAACGCACGCAACGGAAACGCAACGCAATGCAGCTAAGGGGGAAAAAAGAAAAAATTGTATTCTTGCTCCACTTATTATGATGTCATCAACATTGACAAAAAATTAACTGTCAGCATCCGGACCAAAAACGCGTCAAACGCACTGCATCAGCAGCTCCACGTCTGCTGATCAGGACCTGATCTCATGTGAACAGGCCCTTTATTTGTACTGGAGGTGGGACCTCAGCAGGTTCTGTTCAGCTAAATTGAGGACTGGCAGCAAAATCCCCCTGCAAGATGGCAAACGTAACAATCTGGCTTTAATTTGTTAAAGGATAAAATTGGAATTGCAAATTGTTACATATAAATACTCCTGCTACCCATTCATCTGTGTTTTAATAAAAAAAAAAAGGCAAAATACAACTCTGATATCAAACATCCATTCTAGCAGCTGTAGACCCACAGTGGACCCACAGTATAGATATCTATGGGCTGCTGTACATTCACTTGTGGATGATCAATGAATCACCCATAGAGGTGTATGATGCAGACTAGTGCAGGTGCAGTAGTGTGCCAGCTGACTTGGAGAAAAAAAAGAATCAACAAAGTGGGAGGTCTATATGCAAGAATCTGAGGTCTACTTTTTTATAATTTTAATCCCTGATGTTGCAGAGGGTTTAGGGGCGTTAAGTAAAGAAGAAACAACACCAATATGCATGGTTAAAATGTTCACATGTTCTTCACGATACATTTTGTGGATCGATACGTCTCTTATATTGGCATATCATTTTGCATTGTTACCAATGGCTTAGCGGAGCAGCATCTAGCAACAGTCATTGACCTCTATGCCTT